AAAAAAAAAGAAGAAAAATGGAATGGAAATTTGAATCATGCAAGGTATGAAACAAAAGCAGAAAAATGCATCTCCTTCCCTTCACCGTACAGGTAAGTCCAAGAAGCAAAAATTAATAACATAGAACATGAATTTGAATTGTCAAGACTCCATGCAGATACATTTTACGGGTTAAAAACAGTATTAGACGCCCAAATTAAAGGAAATGTTGACAGGTTAGGGTATAAAAAATGCAGTAATGGATTTTTTGTATCATTTCATATTTTCTAACAGCCATGGATACAGATCGATTGTCTAAACTAAAAGAAAATTGACAATTTTAAAGAAAAAGAAGTTTGGTGACCAAACTGAAACGACGATATAAATTGGGTGACTAACGGTGTTTATATCCCTACATTTCATGGTTGGTGTCGATGCTAAACAGCGGTAACAGAGAATAACAGAGAACATAATCTAACATTATATAAAATTGGGTGGTAGAAGCAATCATAAACAAAAACTACAAAGATTATAATTTATGATTGAATCTAGTTTAAGAAATGTAAAGAGAAAGGGCTCCATGCCAATCCTTATGGTTGAATCTAGTTTAAGAATGAAGCTCACCCGGCTTTTGTTTTGTGATGAGTCCACCAATGTGCCGTGTTGAATACTAGAATATCAGCTCTCCTCCATCTTGATGACCCTTTATCTATAGTATCAATCCGCAAAGTTTGCACACGTTTCTTACCTATTCTAGCCTTGCTCTCGTGAACTATAAAATGCGTTGCATAATACTCAACTGTACACTGGTAGTCCTGCAAAAAGATCGGACATAGGTAATAAAAAACACTGAATATGATCATCATCAACTTAAAACACCTATAGAAAGAAGGAGTCTTCAAGAATCACCACAAACTTGAAACAATAATTTCCCTTCTCTTTGGTTATTTTCCTTCCACGAGTTTCATAAACCTTCTTTGGATCTACAACTGCTCCCTTCAACAAACATAGCATTGATTCCCATTGGTTTCTATTAAGCGAATCGCCAACAAAAACTAGCCTCTTTCCTCTAATTAATTCGAGCATTTTGGTTGCATTAAACCTGTAACCAGAAAGCATAATAATTTAATAATTTTCTTACAAAATTGACAAAATTCACAACAAAACAAGGTAACATACAAGTTCGAGGACGAGGGCTTACCTAGGAATATCACAATCTAGAGGTTGCCATCTCCATTTCATGTAATCTTTGTCCTTTCTTCCATTAGCCAGACAATTAAAACCTTCATCTATAAATGGACAAGAAACATTTGTGTACAAGGGAAAACTTTCCTCAAAAACCCATCTCCCTTTAGTAATATCACAACCTTTCTCA